GGTGTAGGAATTCAGAGTTTAGAGTTTGGGTTCAGGGTGTAGGAATTCAGAGTTTAGAGTTTGGCTTCAGGGTGTAGGAATTCAGAGTTTAGAGTTTGGGTTCAGGGTGCAGGAATTCAGAGTTTAGAGTTTGGGTTCAGGGTGTTGGAATTCAGAGTTTAGAGTTTGGGGTTTCGGGTCCTTTTTGAGTTTAGGTTTCAGGGGTTACAGTACTTGAACCAAGGCCTCGTCCTGCAAAGGTGGGGTTGCTGGAAGCATGCAGAAACGGTTTAGAGTTTAGAGTTTAGGGTTTAGGGTTTAGGGTTTAGGGCGAGGATCAAATGTGGCTTCAATTCCACACCATAAGTTCTCATCGAGATTGCGTGAAGATCATGCCCGGCGACACCCCTCCAGTACCACCCCTCAAAACCCACTGACACAGAGAAAAAGAACCCTAAACCCTAAACCCTAAACCCTAAACCCTAAACCCTAAACCCTAAACCCTAAACCGTGTAAATCTTATACATTCCCATACTGCAACTCCCAAACCCGAAGACCTCAGTATAAATGCGAAATTCTAAGACCCAACTATAAACCCAAACCCTGAGACCAAAGCCAGAAATCCCAAACCCTAAACCCTAAACCCCTGAACCTATAGATCCCAAATACTTACGACCAAAATTGTAAATCCCAAACCCTAAAGCCTAAACCCGAAGAAGAGCTGGTCTCCCGATGATGACCAGCACGTTGAAGACTTCGCCGCCAATCACTGCACCTTCGAACCACGCCGATTTTTGGAGTTTAGGGCAGTTTAGGGGTCTAGGGTTTAGGGTTTAGGGGTTTAGGGGTTTAGGGCAGTTTAGGGGTCTAGGGTCCGGAGTTCGAAACCTGTGAAACCGAGGACAAACCAGGATGGATCTTGGAGACTTCGTTGCTATCGGATTCGGACATAACACGACCGCCATACAGTTTTAGACCGGGAAGTCAGCTGCTTCCGGGCTAGAAGATGTGTCCGCTACAGTGAGTGGCACACAAAGCTCGATACCCGAAGCATATCACCACTACTGCTGCTATGTATCAACCACTTCTACTACTACTACTATCACCCTAAACCCTACTACTAGTACCCTAAACCCTAAACCCCTACGCGCTTAATTAGCCATTTCGGTGAAGGGACTCAAATGTGCGCAGGGTCTCGGTTGTGCCTGGCTTTCTGGCAAATCAGGATCGAGTGGCTACAAGAAAACGTGATTAATGTAGGGGCCTTAATAATTAGCACAGGGTTTTCGGGGTTCCTTATTATAAATATAGTAAAGCCTCAATACTTAGAACAGGGGCGTCTATGTCTATAATAACCCAACAAATCAGGGCAACGGCACCAACGCCGATGTTGGAAGGCTGCCAGATCGCAATCCTTGGCACGGCTTCCTAGCATTAGCAATGGGAGCAATTTCGGGCGCTCCCAAGCCATGGCCAAATTCTTCCAAGCCCATGGCCAACACATGCCCAAACAGTGTTTGGGGGCCTAGAGCTATCAAGCAGAGATGTGCGCAAACAAGCCACATGGTCCCAAAAAGCTGAAGACATGAGGCTTTGCTTCCGGGAAGAACCGGACGCCTAGGCTGTGGGTTGTCTCACAATTTTGTACACTGGGCCCTGAACCAGCAAGAACATGTAACTGTCAAGTGTTAACTTTAACATGCTGGTTTAGTTCAGTCCATGCAAAAAAACCCTCAAAGGGCCCAGAAAGGGGGCCACTGCACATTCCCGATACAGAATTCTTGTCGCTCCGTTGAAACACCCCAATTGCCCTGAACACAGATTATAGGTGTAATGCATTAGGGCGTTTTCACGACACCAGAATGCGGCCTTCAGTGATGCTCACCAAATCGTGACCTGAAACCTACTTCATATTGACTCTGAAACACCAAAAAGAACCTCATGTGCACCACTACCACTGGAGAACAAAACAATCGCAAAACGCGAACGCTAATTTAGAAGACTGTCACATTGACCTAGCGTCAAGTTCAGGGACATCTCGGGTCCATTGCACCCCAGTGCCATTAGCGTCGCCCCAGCAACCTGCATTTAGGGCTGGTAGGGATGTTGACTAGGCTCTTCATTGCTACCGGGTAATATCCCCACAAGAAACACAACATCTGCACTCACCAATAAACTCCTAAGGTAGCCCACAGACCCTCCACAAACACCCAAACACGCAAACACACTTCAGCCAGGGCTTACATACTGTAAAAGCCAAAATAAATGCAAATACTGTTCTTTACAATAACTATAGCCTCCCCCAACGCCTATTATACAAAGCATCGACGGCATTATCTCCAACTTTTGTTGAATGGTCCGCACACACCCCAAAGCCCTATTCTACTTATTAAGGCCCCTACATTTTAGAACCCTTATAGTAACCCTTACAGTATCCCTTGTTAAGGAACATTAGGGTGTGGGAACCCTAAACCCTAAACCCTAAACCCTAAACCGTGTTTTGGGGGTCAATGACGTCGGGCCAGGGGTCCAGGTTGAGGGCCTATAGAAGTTAAGATGTATCGTGTAGGGTTTAGGGTTTAGGGCTTAGGGTTTAGGGTTGAGGGTTTAGGGTATAGGGTTTAGGGTATAGGGTTTAGGGCTTAGGGTCTAGTTTAGGTTTAAGGGATTACGATTTGGGAAACTCGTGGGCCTTAAAGTCCGACAGCCCTCTTGTTTTTGGTGAACCCTAAACCCTAAACCCTAAACCCTAAACCCTAAACCCTAAACCCTAAACCCTAAACCCTAAGAGGGCTTTACGGATTTGGGGTCTCAGCCTTAAGGCCGACATCCTAATTAAACCCTACCTTAAGAACCCCAAACCCACTGTTTTGTAGGCTCTTATAATAAACCCTATGGGATTTATAGGGACCCTTCAGGGTTTAGGGTTTAGGGTTTAGGGGGGTTTAGGGTTTAGGGTTTAGGGTTCAAACAGGTAGGTTTTGGGTTCTTAAGGTAAACCCTACACCCTGTAGACACCTTATCTTGCTACTTCAAGTCGGATGCCCCGACACTTTCTGCAGGCTCTACCAGGCGAGATAGGAACAGGCTTCGAGACGAGAACGTATAAGGGATGGGGGTCGGGGGTTTAGGGTTTAGGGTTCTGTCAGGGTTCAGGGTTCATTTGAACAGATAGCACTAAACACCCAGTTACCTGCACTGCACCTATATATTGTTGTACGAGGTTCCTTTCCCTATAATACTATAACCTTAGCATACTAGGCACCTCGGCTTTCAGGGTGAACGTTAAGATGCTAGGCCCCCCGCTGCGTGTTTCCAGCAGTCAGACTTAACTCCCCACCAAAGTCCAAAGCCCTCAGCCACCACTTTGACAATCTCCCGCATTAGCTGCCCCTCCCTAAACCCAAAAAACATTACTAAATTAAAACCCTGTTGCAGCCCTTAAACTCGAAACCCAACAGGACTAAAACCCTCCAAACCCTAAGCCCAACTAACTTGACCGACAAAATCCTCTGCCAAGCTTTGAACCGATTCAAGAAGGCACTATGCTCGAATGAAACCTGGCTTGGTTTGCAAAGCGATGTCTATCCCAAGCCTAATTATAGTCTGGGTCAAACCGTTCATGCTTGGAACGCAAGCCTCTTGCAGAGAACTGCACAAGACTGGATGACGTGTCAATGCGCTGCTGTTCGTGCGAGAAGCGTCTTCAGAGATATTGAAGCGCTTGGTGATCACATCAATCGCGCTCACGAAGTAGATGTCACACACCTTGCGTTTTTAAGTGTTCCCCCATGTCATAAACAAGTCTGCTAACCTGAGTGACAACTTAAGCGCCCTAGACTAGACCCACTCACTCGACACTATGCGGCTTCTATCCGCTGGTCTGGATTATGTGCTCCTATCCTCTCGCACAAAACCTTTCAACAAGACACCTGTGACTGGCACCCTCCCATGATTTGCCTTGAGAAGTATGAACCTAGACAATGGGTTTGGGTACAGAGTTCCATATGGGTTCCTGTACGGGCCTCATACCAGCTCTTTACAGGCGTCGGGTGTATGTTCCTTTATGTGTCTACCTAACTGCCTATCCACATATTCATCTATCATCCATCTATCTATCTATCTATCTATCTACCTACCTATCGAGCGAGCGACCGATCGATCTATCTCTCCTTCCATTATCTGTCTATCTATCTATCTATCTATCTATCTACCTATCTATCTACTCTACCTGTCTACCTATCAGTCGATCTATCTAACTATTTCTATCCGTGTATGGGTCCATCGGCCTACTGATCCATGTGCCAGTATGTAGTGCTTGGTTTGTTCGTGATTTCCTTATTTGTGGTTTCGTTTGTTATTCTGTCTATGTTTGTATCAGTACACACTTCTATACCAAGAGTAAGTAACTTTCTTTGTATTATGAAGATCGGATCATACAATGATGCTATCTCAGATTATGTTAAACTACAATAGAGCATAAGATATGTTGTCAATAGAGCATAAGATATGTTGTAAAATACATGGTATATATACATCTTATATGGTATGTAAACGAATATATTCAATATATATATATATATATAAACTGTTTGGACTCCATACTATGTATAATATACTATAGAGTATGTATTGTCGTAACCATCTTACATAATATATAGTTAGTCTATATATGGCGAACTAGATATTCAGAAAAAATCCGCTACGAACCCATATGTATCACGTGTTTCGTATGCCACATATTGCGGGTTGTATCTTACAAATCATAAATTACACAATGCATTTTGTCTGTTATATATGCGATATTCTAGCGTGTTATATATTACATATTATATACTGCATATTATACATTCAACTTATACCGCGTGCTATATATAATACAGTATATACTGTATACGATTTTCAAAAATGTTTAAAGATTGCATATGAATTAAATAAGTGTGCATTTCGTGCTACATTTCATGAACTGTGTATCAGCTCGTATAACGCTTTATTAATCCCTTCCCCCTAATATTAAAACGCCCCCCCTCCCTGATATAAAAACTCAAGCCCGGGGGCTTAGTTTAGGGTTTAGGGTTTAGGGTTTAGGGTTTAGGGTTTAGGGTTTTTATGTTAGGGGGGGGGGGGTTCCGGCGCATCCGGGTATGAGTCGGATTACTGTAGACTGTACCCCTGAGCCTTAAGAGCCCTACAGCCTGAAGCCTTAACCCCTAAGCCCAAAAGCCTTAAGCCCGAAACCATACAGTCAGACACAACGACCGATTACTACGCAGCCGTTCCGGCTGTAGAGCAGGCAGTCAGCCNNAGCCCTGAGCCCTTAACCCCTAAACCCTAAAGCTCTGGTCCTTTGATTTAGTACCACTGTAGTCTTGGCTCCATTACAACTCATACAACCCCTAGGCCCCCCCTAATGTTTTTTGCTTTCAATTGTGGGCCCGAAACCGCGACATCCCGGGGCCGGGCAGTTTTTATATTAATTAGGGTGGTTTAATATAATAGGGGGAAGGGATTACAATGCCAAATACATTTCATTTTATCTTTTGTACTGCTATGTTTCTATTGCGCGTCTCATATACCTTATTACATTATGTCATATGACACTATGTAGTATATGATAGTACTACACACATAGGTGCGTACAGTTCCAGCAGCACCACTCCAGCCAGGTCACGTGCGCCATGCCCCAGAACCTGGTCGGCGCTTGCAACATGGGGGTTTCCGAAAATAGGGGACCCTAATATAGTACCCCAAATAATAGGATCCTTATTATAAGGACCCCAAAATAAGGTACCCCTAATTTTCGGAAACTCCCACATACTCAGCCAGAGACTGCAGCGTGTGCGAGTGGGGGGAGATTGGATTACCTGTATGTCTCGTGACGGAGGTGGTCTAGCTTGATATGCAGGGCCAGCCCTGCCGCAACAGCGGTTTAAATATATCTTCTCTGAGACCGAGCAGCAGGTAACAAATGGCTGGCCACCAAAGCCATCTGAGCACCTTGACATCAACCCGCACCGTCCTGACACGCGGCAACTGGAGGGTTGCTGTAGGAGTCGAGATCAAGGGACTTAAGTTTGGGGTTTACGATTTAGGTCTTGTGGGGTTTAGGGTTTAGGGTTTGGGGTTTAGGGTTTAGGGCTTGTGTGGGTTTAGGGTTAAGGGCTTAGGAGTTTAGGG